ACTGTTCCCAGGGCAATTAGGGATGCGCAATAAATGTTGGCCTAGCCAGTGACGCCCTCATCCCATGAATTAATAAAACAAAACTACATTGTTATACACACATGGCATATGATGCAGTGAAAATTCCTTCATCCCACTGCAGCCTTGGAATTTTCACAAATGATGGGCCACATTTGCTCATTGCTCACCTCCTTTTAACTTATTGCCGTTATTTACTGCATCACTAAGATGACAGTGTTAGTTTAACTCGTACCAACAGCATGGTGCAAACTACTTTTGAGCAACATTTGAAGCCCAAACACATTTACTCCACATGCATTGCATATGTGTGAAGAAATGTTTGGAACTGAAATGTAGCTGCAGTTTGCAAACTCATGTTTCATGTATTTGCCCCTTCAATGTCCTAGCATTCAGCAAATGTCGATTGCACACTTTTGTCCATCAAACAGACATCAACTTGACCAAACTGGGCATTGACCCATCCATTTTTCTGTTGCATTTTGCATCTAAAGAAAGGCAAGTGATGGCAGGCAACGCAGCATGACAAGCAGCCTGTCTGTATGTCGGTGCAAAAGAGCATGTTCATACAGGAATGTTGACAACCTTTGGCTCTGGCTGAAGCACTTGTGCTAATAGACAAGGCACAGCAAGGCTAGGGATGGATACTGTGAGCATGCAGGTCAACACTAAGTGAGGTGAGTGCTATGAGAGCAAGCGAGTAGCCCTGAGATGCAGAGACAACAAGGTGCAGGGCTGGATGAACACAGCAGGCCAAGATGCATCCTGGCAGCTGGGAGCTTGGCCCTGTGCGCAAAATGTCTCTGCAGCTTTTCAGTGCTATTTGCTGCTGCTCCCTGCAATGCAAGTCTGCATTTTCTACAGAATTATCGATGTTTAGTTGTTTGGCACATTTGGTAAAATAAAAAGCTGAATATTAATAAGGCAAGTTGTAACATTATTAAGATTTTTAACAAGAAGTAATGCACCTTGTTTGGCATCTCACTGCTGCCTAGTGAGGAACAAAGCCTAAAAGATGAAGCTAGATACTCCCAATATCATGATAGGTCTTGCTGGACTTCCTGTCCCATTTTGCCATGCATCTTGCTGCAGCCCACGTCTCGCAGACCCTTTTAAAATTCTGCCCTTTATCTGTTTTGCTTCTCTATGTGTGGCAGAACTTTGCTTTTATTTTAAGACCGTATCAAGAGTTTGTGCCAAATGTAGGTTTGTTTTGAGTGGAGGAGCCAAGTTAATAAATACACTCATACTCAATAGAGCTTGCAGGACAATGACCAGTGGTCAGGTTCATACTTCATATATGTTGGTTTGTGGACAGACAAGTTTACTGTTTTTGGATAACAAGATTGCACCTATGGATGTGATTCTAGTGGCTTGAAGTGTTATTGAGTATTCATGACATGCTAATCAATGCAACACTGGTTCCCTTCGATTATTGTCAGGGAAACCTGCCAGAAAGCTTCTGAGAACTTAACAGCAAATGTTTAACCCACCGATGGGAAACATAAACTTTTCCTGCTATTTTATTAAATTACTGTATCTGCCTTTCTAAAAGCTTCAGGCAGTCCTGGAAAATTCTCCCTATTGTTTTCATCCCTGTTATTCTGTTTGTCAGTTTGTTTGCGATATAACTCAATAACTAATGGATATTTCATATGGACCAGATACTCAATTACACTAGCAACCACCCCAATGCCCACAAACAGAGCTGCATCAGCCACAACACATTACAGCAACCCGGAACTACGCAAAGCAGAACAGGAACACCTATATGGAGTTTTCAAAAGGAATGGATACCCAAAAAGCACAATCCGCCATTACCTCCGAGACAGACCACAACAGGAAGACACAACACGACCAGACTCTCAAATCACCTGACCATACATCAAGGACATATCAGAGATGACCACAAGATTATTCAGACCCCTAGGTATCAGAGTAGCTCACAAACTGACAACCACCTAATGACAGCTACTGATGAACAGAAAGGATCTCCTACCCAAAACCAGCAAATAATATACAATGTAATATACAAAATACCATGCAAGGACTGTGAGAAACACTACATAGGCCAAACTGGAAGAAAATTGACGATACGGATACATGAACACCAATTAGCCACCAAGAGACACGACCAATTCTCACTTGTCTCACTACACACTGACAACGAGGGACACGAATTCGACTGGGACAGTACATCCATAACAGCACAAGCCAAACAGAGGCACGCCAGGGAATTCCTGGAGGCCTGGTATTCCAATTGGAACTCCTTCAACGAAGACATTGAATTAGACCCTGTGTACAAACCACTGAGAACAGAAACAGAGCCAACCACCCCAGCAAACCAAGGCATATAAATAACAAGCGGGACAGAACACCAACGCTTCACCAGAGGGGCACTGATGATGTTACCTAGCAGGGTGACGAAATGTTTGCAACCAAATTCACCAGCTTGGTGAGCATGTCTACAACCTCATTCACAACCCGAGCTACAAATCTTCTCAAACTTTAAAGAGATTTATTGTTTTCAAATTTTTTGTTACAACAAGGCTAGGAACGCATCAAGGTGGAGCTGCGTAATTATAATGTCTTTGAATTAATACAGCATGGTAGAGTATATGCTTTACTGAATGCATTCTTTGCTTGCTGTTGATTAGATTAGGTGGCTCATGGAGAAAGACCTGTTCTGTTTTCTTACAGTTTATGATCCTATCATTTATTCATTAGAGTTTAAATAACCTATCTAAATAATTCCAGGTTTTGTTGTGACTCTACTGAATCTTTTACGTAGTTAGCACAATTTGTACTTTTCAAACGCTGCAAAATCTGCTGTCACAAAATAGATTATTTATTTGATTTGGAACAATCCATTGTTTTGATTGTATGCAGTTTCTCCTTTTAAGTGAAGTGAAAATTCTTATTGCTGAATTAGATGCAGAGTTTGATAAAAGATTCCTTGCTCTGTGTATCAAAATAACTAAGTGACAGTAGTAAAATTCTACATTGACAATGGTGACATGCCTGGACGTGTTAACATTTACTTCTATTGTTAAGTTTATAATGATCCTGTCAGTCCAGCTGAATGATGACATGTGAGCTATAGCATTATTTTCAAACTAATATAACTGAACAATCTCACTGCAGTATATTTTGATTTGAGCAGCATTACTGACATGTTTGCTTTTAAAGAAGCTGCCAACTTTTATTACAGATATTTTTAATCAACCTGTTAAGGGACGTTATGGTACACCTCTGGAGCACATGGGGCTTGAACCCAACATTTTGGCCTGGAGGTAGGGACCATACAAGAGCCCTCAGACTTGCGTTGTAAATACTGTCAGTTATATTCTTTCAAATATCTCAAGGTTTGACAGATATTTCGATAAACTGAGGAAAGATAACAACCCATTCTTCCAGGATGAGACCTAGGTGTATCTAGATACTGATACAATGCTTCCTCTATGAGAAAGTCTAGAACTGGATGAACACATTAAAAATAGCGGGTCTCTGATTTAAGATGGGGATGAGGAGGACTTTACTCCCTCAGAGGGTCATTTGTGATTGGAAGATGTTCTCGAATCAACAGTGGAGGCTGGGTCATTGAATACATTCCAGGCTGAATTAGAAACCATTAGCAATAAGGGAGATGGGTCTTATGGGTGGATGGGTGAGTAGTGGGCATGTAGGAAAGTGGGGAAAGAAGAGTTATAATCAATTAGTCAAAATCTTATTGAAGGCCAGAGAAGGCTTGATGGGCAAAATGACCTACTTATATTCATATTTCTCATGATCTTGTTTCAGACCCAAGTTATAGGAATCTTTGAGTCAGGAACATTGCAGTATAATTTATAACAAATGTAATCTTTGCAGTTTAGGTTAATAACAGCTGTTAACTAAATTAACTAAATTAAATTGTTTAACATGCATCAGGTACACTCTCATCTTAGTTGATTAAAGCAGAGGTGGTAGATAGTGATTAAATAGTTTACGTTTCTCATTTTGTCCTGGTGTGTTGAGAATTTTTAAAAATCTGGTTTTCTTGAAAAGATAACCTTTTATAAAGTTTCTAGTTTTGAAACTATCATGTTTGAATATTGTACGGTAAATGTACAGACTGATGATGTACATTTTAGGTTAGAGAAATAGGCAAGAATAGCTTCTTTACATCAAATACAATCTGTGTCTCTATGAAAGGAGTTGGCTTGCTAGGTGAATATTTCTTTTTCATTCAGGTTTTCCTTGTGGCCCATGTTTTCAATATTGGGGTCTTCTGGAGTTTTCTGCCATTTTTGCTGTTTCCAGGGAACTTTTTGTTGATATGTTTAAGAACATTATGTCGAATTATTCAGAGAACAGTTTCAGACTGCACTGGGCCAATTTCTTTAAGTACGATGGTGGTTTTTCAAACTGCTGTTTGTGAAAGAACAAGTTTTAGTGATTTACATAAGGTTTAATGATGCACAATAAAACTGGGAAGTAAAATATCCAACTGCAATATGTTCACCTAGTTCCATTTTTTTCTTCTTCATTGCTATGGATACACAGTGAAGCTGATGCTTGACATTTTCTGTGACAACATATACCATGCCCTACATGCTTTTATGTTCTAAAGCTACTCTCCAAAATGTCAGAATCTATCATTTCCTCATTATACATGCTGACTAGCTTGCATGTGTTTCAAGTAGCTTCTGTTTTTATTTCTTATTTTCAGCATCACCAGTTATACCTGTTTTTGTTTTATTCTGAACTTCTTTAGCTGTCTGGTTTTAAAGGTATTGGTGCTGGACCTAGCATGAAAACCTCAGGAATTCTACACTTCCATTGAACATTAAACTGTAGACATCCAGAGTGTATCAAGTGTTTTGGAGCTTTCATTATGCTGCCTTTGAGACATTAGATGGTCATGAGAGATGCTGTATAATTGCATGTCATTGGCTGTCTTCTTGATTTAAAATGTGATGGTATTTCTCTTCTGGCTACAGGAAACTCTCGGAGGAGACTGATGTGCTCTGTGTGCAATAAGAAGTGTTCGTCAGCTGCAACCCTACAGGAACATCGAAAGGTCAGGCATACAAGAGACTCCCTTCTGGTGTTCACAGCAGATTCTGTTTGTGTTAGAATACTAGTGTGGGCTATTTATTGCGGCTTAGCCGTCCAGTAATTGAATGAATTAACTTTATTGAGTCAATTCTAACTAATGAAAAATTTTGAAAATGAATTCAATTTGTTAATCCTTTAACTGATGGCTCAGGATAGGAGTGATGTAGCTGTAAAGTCTGACATGCTAACATTCTTTTCATTCTTGCATGTTGCATTTTGTTAATTGATTTTAAGTCTCTAAACACTATTAAGCAAATGTGAATGTATTTTCATACTGCTGTTTTCAGACTGATGAGCAGAACTATGTTTAGGGTGGATGTCATTGAAGAGATCACGAAAGGTCAAAGCCATTGATCTTACAGTCTAGGGTTTGTTTTGCAAGGCGAACTGTCTGCTCTTGCTTTTCGAATATGTCTCAGATACTGCTAATTTCTACTGTTTCTTGATTCTTCACAAAGTGATATATTGCAGTAAAAATTTTGAGTGGTTTCCTTCTTTGAACTACCTTGGTGGTCAGACATACTTGGAAAAAAACAATTAGCAATTTTGGCAGAGCAATGTTGAATTAAAATAACATGCCCGTCAGCTAGTCAGATTTCACAATTTTAAAATGATATGATTGAATGACGAAAAGTGAAAAATAGATCATGGTGCAACAGACAAAATTGACCACTAAGAGTCACGTGCTGCTATATACGTTGAAGCAGAAATGGTAATAAGCACACTATATTGCAAGACACACCATGGCTGTTTTTACTATTGAGGATAACATGTTTCATTTAGTTATAACTATTCCTTGTGCATCTCACTATTTTGCAAAAAGTATGGAATATATAGCATAAGAGCAGTAACGTGAAAGCATAGAAAATAGGAATAGAAGCAGGCCATTTGGCCCTCCAACCCTGCTTCACCAGTGATTGTGACTGACCATCCAAATCATTACCCCATTCCCACTTGACCAGTGCAATATGTTCCCGGAAAGCCAAGAAATTTTGTGAATTCAAAGGTTTTTCAGAAAACTGAGAGAACAAAGTTTGCATAGGTTTATGAGATAATATCTGGAACATTTATAAACTGCATTAAACCATAGGGTATTTTCATGTGATTCAGTGCTGTTAGTTTTTTGTCAATTATAGAATCTCACAGGGGGCCAAATGGCAATAGCTTGGAGAAGGCTAACAAGGCAAACCAGGCAAGGAATTACACTATGAATGGCAGGACCCTGGGAAGTACTGAAAATCATAGGGACCTTGGTGTGTATAACCACAGGTCCCTCAAAGAAGCAGGACAGGTAGATAAGCGAGTTAAGAAGGTATATGTCTTCATTAACTGAGTTGTAGGAATCAAGAACAGTGAGGTTAAGGTAGAGCTGTATAAGACACTGGTTATGTAATAATTGGAGTAATGTATGCAGTTCAGGTCACCACATTGTAGGAAGGATGTGATTGCACTAAAGAAGATGTAGAGGAGATTACTTGAATGTTGCATGGGCTAGAGGGTCTGAGATATGAGGAAAGATTGTATATGGTTGGGTTGTGTTCCTTGGATCAGTAAATGTTGAGAAAGGAGCCGATAGAGGTATGTAAGATTATAAGTGGCATAGATAGGGTGAGAAGGAAGGAAGGCTCTTTTTCCATTAGCTGAGAGTCAATTGCCAGGGGGCACAGATTTAAAGTACAAGGTAGACAACAAAGCAGAGAGTCGAGGAGAATGTTTTTTATTCAGCGGGCGATGGGAGTCTGGCACTCGCTGCATGAAACGGTGTTTGAGCCAGAAACTCTTATAACAGTGAAATAGTACTTAGATATTCATTTCCATTGCCATTGACTCCAAGGCTATTGGCCAAAAACTTGTAAATGGGATTGGTGCAGTCAGATCTTTGTGGGCTGGTGTGGGCATGATGGGCCGAATGCGCCCCTTCTGTGCTGTATATATCTATGGATCTATAAGAATCTTTTGACAATTAATTTAGGCCTGTCTCCTCTGATGACTGACCCTTCAACCAGCAAAAACTCCTTATTTGCTGTTAGGCACTATCTGTCTTTTAATTCGAGGATGACTACTCAGTCTTACGAGTCTCTGCTGTGGGACTTCATGTAATTGGCGCTGATATTTGACCCAGAGATCTTTGAGGAAATGGAGCAGTATTATCCCACAAAGTCGTGGAATTCAAAGTTAGGACTTGCTTCCTTTTCTTTCCCACTCTGGCTATTTCCCTGCCTCATTGTTAAGATGTTGAGATTCAAAGCATGGGATTTAAAAACTGAAAGAACTGCAAATGCTGTAAATCAGAAACCAACTCAGCTCAGCGCGTCTGGCAGCATCTGTGAAGAGAAATCAGAATTAACATTTCGGGTCCGGTAACCCTTCCTCAGAATGCTGCCAGACCTGCTGAGTTTTTCCAGCAATTTCTGTGTTTGTTTGTGGGATTTAAAAGATTTTTTTCCTCCTATTGGAGGTTCCTTTGGATAGGCTAAGACATCACTGTATCTTTGGGATGATTTCCTCAGCCACAGAAAGCTAGCAAATTTGCAGTGTGCCTATCCAGAATTTCCCTGATATGGAAAGAGGGAAATATTTTGATAGTTCCAAGCACATGATTTATTTCACTGCTTGAAGGTAATTTACAACGTCATATTCCTGTATTTGGAGTAGGAGGTTCTTTTACCTGCCAAATTTGATTGATGAATCCATGGAATTTTGATGGGAGCAAATATCTGCCAGCTATGAAGAATCAACTGGAATACCATCAGAACTGTAGGCTTTATGGTTTCTTTCTGTTGGTATGTTACAACTGACCCAGCAATGGTGGTTCATGGATTCCACCACAGGATACAGCAGCATAGCTTGAAGGGTATCAGTTTCACAACTGATGTGTTGGTATAAATGTTGGTTTGATTGCCTCAATCTTAGTGATATAGAACTTTGTGAGCTCCTCAAGGTTATAAAAGGTAAGGGTAGAGGGGAGGGTTCACTGCAGATCATTTACAATTGTGGTTTGTTCCCAAGTTAGTGTTTTTTCAAAATAATGTTCTTGTTTGTTTTTTTCATGAAATGATACACCTATCCTGGCTGGCATGTGATATGCTGTTGTGTGAAGTAGCATATGGATTGTGTTTAGGGTATTCCATGTTGTTAATTTAGACTATGATACATTTCCTGTCTGTCCCATTTAACTCTGCAAACTGCGACCACTGTTTTAAGGGTCTTGCCAGATCATGGGTGCCCAGTGGCATCTGAATTCCTCCCTGCATCTATCCCCGCAACTGGGCTACAAAACCTGTGTAAAGTTGGTTGTATGCACTTTCAAGCTCTTGCCACTGTGTGTCACTGTGGGGCACCATCGGTTTTGAGAACAGCACAGTGAACCAGAAGCATTCCAGTGGTTAGTAAAGAGCCTCTGATCAAAATTACTTACCTCATTAAGCTTAGTTTTACCAATTACCAATTCAAAGCTGACAAGTAATAATGTAATTTTTCCTATTAAGTTCCAGACTGGGTGAATACAAAGGGTAAAATATGACATCATGGATGTTATAGCTATAGGTAGATCTTATAATATAGATGGTATACCAGGTCTGTGTAAGGATAAAGTTACCATGAAAGTTTTAAATGAAGTGCATGACCCGTGTACTGAGTTAAAGATAAAATAGATGTATATCTTATTCTTTTCACCATTTAAAAAAGTGCTTTAATGAAGTAAGCAAGCTGCTGCTGTTTATAGCTACTCCTGCCCAGAGATCTGGTGTTGTGTTATGCGACATGCCTCTGTACTGTACCATCCTGGCATATCCACTGCAATATATAGGCAACCGCTCCGTAACATTGTCATTCAAGTATACCTAGATCGACCTGCCATTCTGCTGCCCTCCACTTGGCCCTCTAGAACAGATCTCTAACTTTTAGGCTTGGATCAATTGGCCAAAATACTAAATTCTCTGGATCCTACACTTAGAGCTCATTTTGCTTTAGCAATCTCAAATACCTCTTCATTTAACATATAGTCTATGTATGGGATTTCTAGCATTTGTCTTAGTGTCCACACTTCAAGGGCTTCTATTCCACAGATCTTTACTTACTGCTCATGTTTCTGAGGCATACAGTAAAAGTGGATAGAATGTAGCATATTGAGAGTGTTTGGTTTTTTGAAGCTTGAGTTTACCTGTTAACACATCCATCATCTTAATAAATTTACTTCTGGCTATCTCTATCTTTGCAACTTCTGCAATACAAACGCAATCCAGAGATATCACTGTACCCTGCCACTGATATAATATGGGAGATTTACAAATTGGAATGACAAACGTCTTAAAAAAAAATTAGTGCCCAATTTTAATGACATTTTATTATGTCAAATGCTCTATTGAAGATGGTAATTTCAAATATGCTTTAAAAAGTTACTTAGAGCATTCAAGATTTAAAGCAAGTTGGTTTAGAAACTTTATTTTTGAAGACAAAGTTTTAAATAAGCAAACTGATTGAGATTGGGATCTTCATTAAAGTACTATAGATAAACAGCAAAGAACCTAAAGTTACAATCCTCTGACACCAAAGGAAATGAATGTTGAACAAATGCAAATTTTTCTGAAGAAGGGTCCTGACCGGAAACGTCAACTTGCCTGTTCCTCTGATGCTGCCTGGCCTGCTGTGTTCATCCAGCTCCATACTGTATTGTATCTGACTCCAACATCTTCTTCAGTTCTTGCTATCTCCAATTGCTGTAATGAGAGTTTCCCAGCGTGTGATCTAATGTAATTTAATGCATTAATTAACTAATGGATCCACATTAAAGACCTGCACATGGAGTTGAAATATTTTAGACATTTGTTAACCTTTTGAAACAATATCAAACAATCAGCTTCTCCAGTCACTTTGGGGCAGGTGTTGTAATACTTTCATTCTCATTGTGTGGAGGACCCTTATTACTTATACATCACTAAATGCTGGTAATTCACAGTATAA